GTTTACCGAAAGCCAAATGGTCAACCGCCTTTATCCCACCACCAGTGTAGAACCACCCATCAGAAATCAATGACACAATATGTGGAGACACATGCGCAGGAGACTGGGTGTGGGGTGAGCACATGGGAGTTTTGATCATAACCTACAGAACGTAACAGGGTGTCTTACATTTTCTGCAAAACAAAAGATTCTGTCGTCTCAAGGACAGTATTGAATCTTATCCGGAAACACACTTAGAAATTATTTTGGAACCCATAATCTTCAGATTGGGAGTTCTCAGGACCAATACACAAGAAGGGTCTTGGCAGTGACCGGCAAAGAGTCAGTGCTGAAGGAATGCTGCACTGTAAGGTCAATGCTGAGGGAGTGGGCACTGTCAGAGGGTCAGTGCTGAGGGAGCGGGCACTGTCGGAGGGTCAGTGCTGAGGGAGTGGGCACTGTCGGAGGATCAGTGCTGAGGGAGTGGGCACTGTCAGAGGGTCACTGCTGAGGGAGCGGGCACTGTCAGAGGGTCAACACTGAGGGAGCCGGCACTGTCAGAGGGTCAATGCTGAGGGAGTGGGCACTGTCGGATTGTCAGTCCTGAGGGAGCGGGCACTGTCGGAGGGTCAACGCTGAGGGAGCGGGCACTGTCGGAGGGTCAACGCTGAAGGAGCGGTCACTGTTGGAGGGTCAGTGCTGAGGGAGTGGGCATTGTCGGAGGGTCAGCGCTGAGGGAGTGGGCACTGTCAGAGGGCCAGTGCTGAGGGAGTGGGCACTGTTGGAGGGTCAACGCTGAGGGAGTGGGCACTGTCAGAGGGTCAGTGCTGAGGAAGCGGGCACTGTCAGAGGGTCAGTGCTGAGGGAGCGGGCACTGTCGGAGGGTCAGTGCTGAGGGAGCGGGCACTGTTGGAGGATCAGTGCTGAGGGAGTGGGCACTGTTGGAGGGTCAGTGCTGAGAGAACCTCGTGCCAGTCCGTTGTCAGGCTCCAGGACCTGGGGTGAAGGGGTGCTTTGCTGATGAGGCTGTCAGATCTCCCCCTGGGTGCCCTGTGGCCAGGGGTCTGTGGGGACAGATCTCCTTGGCAGATTCAGGCAGTCCCTCACCTCCATCCCAAGTAACCACATTCCACATTAACCTATGCCTCCCTCAAGTCTGGAGAAAACGGGAAGGGGTGGAGGCGATGGAGGACAGGCGAAAGGCAGGGGAGATAATTGGGGGGGGGAATAAAGGGAGGGGGG